CTTATGTCAGTAGTAGCTCTGGAGAATGGTGCTGTCCGTGGGAAAAAGCAAATAATGATAGTTTTTAGGTGGTGGGGGTGCAGGGGGTGCACACTGGCAGCCCATTAAGCCCCCATCCCCTTAAGTTGGATCCTCACACGCACGTGTGCGATTTCTGGCACCGACGTGCAGTTTCCCTGCTGACGTGTGGGTGCATGTTTGACCGATCTGCTACACCGTGCTGCTGGCCATCCCCTCTGATCCCCTCGAGGACTAATTCGTATCCATCCACTCCGCTGCCACGGCAACAAGTGCATCTGTGGTTTGTTTGCCCGTTTTCCCTTGTCTCACAACATTACCGCAGCGGGGACATGTACCGATTATTAAACAAAAAGTTAAATACATATAAGTTAACGTACATTTTTTGTGAAGTATGGCACTTTCCTACGGGCTTGTCTGAGGTCAGCCCTAGTTTGATGCTCGCTGTCTGGCAGCAGACGGTATTTCCTGGGTCCTTTGAGGCCGGCCACGGCTGGACGCGACATGAAAGCTTCCTCACTCCTGGCACGTAATTGAGCTGCAGATTTGAAGATCAGTCACTCTGAACCGGATCAGAGTCAGCTTGGCAACAGACGAGCCGCTGCCCTCTGTCTGAGCTATAATATCACTGCGCCTGGAAGGCCCCGTCCTGCTATTTCCAGTGATTAGACGTGTGTGGGAGGACCGGCTCACCCTTTAGAAGTCAAGATGGGGGAACGTTACCGACTGCTGGGAGGAAAGGATGGTTTGATGGAGAAAGTGAAATATCACATCTCCCTTCCCTCAGAAATTGGAACGGTCATTTCCTCCTCAACCTTAGTCACCTGAAAGATATGGCCTTACTTTCTAAACGAAAAAACACTAACAGATATAACCAGCCTTGTATTTTTGTGACTCGCTTTGCCTGCTATCTTAATTGGCCTGCCCTAACACTCACGAGGCTGGTTAATATGAGGATCTGTCACGTAAGGTACAGGACAGGGACCCATTTGTGTGCATTTGGTGGTGCTTTGATGAAAGTTGTTGCGTGATTCCTGCTCTGATACTGCTTACCCTTGTACCTGGGCATCAGCCTGGCTGTACTCATGCCCTACTCCATGACAGTAGTATGGTTGTAATGTGGTATTTGCTTTACTTGTATGTCGCTTTGGACAAAAGTGTCTGCTAGATGAAATAGATGCAGCATAAATGTTACATTTAGACGTCCATCTGTCTTCCATGACCAGGTATCCAGCACAGGGCCTGGGTGAGCGGGCCGTGCATCCCACGTAGCACAGGACGCGAGGCAGGTTGTGTCCTGGATGGGATGCCAGGCGGCCGTCACAGGGCCTTGGTTAAATAAAAATATAAATAAAATAAATAAAATATAATTAAATAAAAAGAAAAAAATCCAGCAGAAATGAGAGATGCCTTCACACATGCTGGAGACTGAAACCTCCGGGCCTGGTCGGCCCCGCGCCACATTCCGGAAACCGCGATTTAATTAACGAAGAATTAAAGCGCACAGTTATTTTGATTAAAGGCACACGCCTTTTATTCCCCATTCCTCCTGTGGTCCTGAGACTGGCTTATGATTTAATTTCGTTTGGTTTACTCTGAAAAAGCGGCATCCATCTGGAGGAGCCGCTCAGCGCACAGACTGGCCTCGCCTGCAGCTTCCCGCCAAGCGAAATGCCCCTTTTCAGGCCCACCTTGGTGACACGGGGACAGCAAAGGGGACGATTACATTTCTGTGGAACTACAGATGTGATTTCAATTTCCAGGGGAATGTTCTATTTCTTGTTACATCATCTTTCCTGTGTCCTATAATATTCAGTCCATATTATGCAGGGATCATCATGTCTTGCAGGGGAGTGGTTAGGCCAGGGTACGATAGTCTGTATAGTTCATATTGTGTGGGGATTATTGTGAGATGATAAAAAATAGTAATTTGTGGGCCTGCAAAACTCCATTGAAGGTTATCTCAAGGTAATACTGACCTTGCGACCCTGACTAGGGTAACTGGTTAAAAGATGGACTGAAAACACCCAGTTCGGTGAAGTAAACTGAAGCACATAGTTCAGGTGGTATTTAAGGAGGATTGTGACGGTGAGGCTGAGGTGGTTCTGAAAGACCAGCTTCTTGGTTGCTTGTCGCGGTTTGGAGCCCATTTCAGGTGATACTGGCCGGCGGCCCGGCCACAAATGGGAAAACCCCCGAGCTCGCTGGTGCATCACACTCTGTCAGCAGTGGCGCAGTCATACTTGCTTCCTCGTCACCCCCCACTAGGGAGAAGGATGGAGGGGTTGGGGGAGCAAACGGAAGACCCATTGTCAATTCAATGGTTATTTAATACTTAACATGCTGGGTGGAGGGAGAGAAGGCAGGAAATCTGCGTGCACAGTTGGACATCCAGGAAGAAGAGGGCTTGGCCAGGGAATGAAAGGGACAATTTAGCCATGTGCTGGGGGGGGGCGGCCTCAGGGGTAGCTGTGCCCTGGGCCAGCGGAGTGCCCACTCGGGGCTCAGTAACAGTGCGCCACGTAGGGCCCCGGCACATCAGAGGCTGGCGAGGAGCAGGTGCACAGCAGGCTGAGTTGCATCGTTGACAAGAGGCTGCAGGATCTCCTTTATTCTGATGCATGCCGTGTGTAGGTACCTGTGGGACACTTTATGCTGCTTTGACAGTTTCTTTATTTTTACACTTCATTTGTTGAAGGAATTCACACAAAGGGGTGGTGTGGTGGCTCAGTAGGTAGAGCTATTGCCTCGGGCCTTGAGGGTCGAGAATTTAAATTCCGCCCTCACCCCTGTGTGTGATGTCTGCTTCCCAATGGCTATGTCCCAGAACTGTTTTTTCAACTGTTCCCTTGCTCCCTTCCCTCAAAGACTCGCTGGCTAAAGTTGAAAGTTCATGAAGATGATGAGGGAAGGAATGACTGAGTTAGTGAGCAAGGTAGCATGCACAAAAAGCGGTATTGGGACACTCTTGCATCCTTGATGACTTACCATGCTCTGTCTGTACATATGTATGAAGTCTGTATGTATGAAGTCATCACTGAAGTAGAAACTTTTATGTCATGTCATGTGTACTGTAGGTGTTACCAAAGGTGAACTTCTTTTCCCCAAAGCGTACTCTTGAATAGAGCCCGCGGCAAAGGGGTGATTTGAGTGAAAATTGCCCCTCAATGACTCGTTCACTAAGGTATTGGGACACTTCAACATCTGGAATTCTGAAAACTTTCTGGGTGAAGGAAAGGTGGCGAGGGAGGGTGGTGCAAATTAGAGTTTTGGGATGTAGCCCTGCTGTTGTGTGGGTTTCCTTGGGGTTTCTGGTAAACTCGATATGTGCTGTTGGTTAACTGGTATTTCTAAAATTTCATCTGGTGTGTCTAATTGTATCCTGTGATGAACTAGTGAATTGAGCTGTCTGGGGTCAGCTCTAGGTCCTTCTTTGACCCTGACCAGGATCGGTGGATGGAGGTAATATGGATAGATTCACATGAAGGGCGTGCTGGTGGAGCTAGCCCCAGGACATGGTACCGTAGGCTGAGCAGTTAAGGGAGCTGCAGGATGGAAACTGATGCTCTTATAGCTCAACCCTGAATAATAAGCAAAGCCAACAGCAGCTTGTGGCTTGAGTGGCCATGTGGGTGTGCTTGAGATCCCACTACAGCAATCTCCACTCCCCTGAAAGATTCTTCACATTTCATTAGTAATTCAGAGGATGTTGTCCTTAGGGCCGGCTCCACTTTTTCAGTGGCCCTAGGCAAGCGAATCAGGGAGGGGGGGCCCCCTCAATAGGTTGCGCCCAACTCTGGCAGGAAGGGGGCTTGATATATTTCCTCTCGTCTGTTGTCATCTGGCTTTCTTTATTTAATTTCCTTGTCTTCTTTTCCCTGTTCTGTGTTACTCTCTCTTAATGATGTCATGCATCACAACACACCCATGTAAAACACATTGGGGCAACTCTGTTGTGAAAGGCACAATATAAAAATAAATTGAATTGAGTTGAGTTGAATTGAATTTCACCCATCAGGTTGGACCCCCTTCTGTCGGTTGGGTCCCCTCCTTCTGGTTGGACCTCCGTCTGCCAGTTGGGTCCCCTTATTCTGGTTGGACCCCTTCTGCTGGTTGGGCTCCCTTCTTCTGGTTGGAACCCCTCTTGCCAGTTGGGTCCCCTTTTTCTGGTTGGACCCCTTCTGCTGGTTGGGCTCCCTTCTTCTGGTTGGACCCCCTTTTTGCCAGTTGGGTTCCCTTCTGCTGGTTGGGTTCCCTTCTGCTGGTTGGACCCTCAGTAGTGGCCTAATTTGATTATGTTTAGATTCGGCCCTGGATGTCCTACAAATCTACACTTCCAGAATTCAGGTTAAGCATCTTGACCGAACAACCGATCCATTTACTACGAGATTCCACCTCTCGCTGGCCCGTTTCAGCCCCAACCCTGAGGCCCCCTCCCTAGTTAAGGATATTTCTCTAGGTTCTGTGCCTCCTTGCCGTTTTCCCTTCAGCCGCATCGTTTCTCCGCGGAGGCCCCGTATTGCGGGGAGCGCAACAGACAGAGGAGCCGCTCCCTGGCCAGGCGACAGGTGCCGGCGCCCGTCTGACCGGCTCTGGCTTCCAGCCCCCGTTGCAGACGCCCGTGCACGCTCCAGATGGCACCGCTCTTGCCGTAAAGCAAACCGCCGTCGATTTCACCAATAACAAGGCCACCGGCGGGGGCCGAGGAAAGGGGCCCCTTGGGTCGGCATTTGTTTTTCAGGCAGATGGACATCTGCGTTTCCCAGTCCGCCCCCCAGCCCACCCCAACCCTCAAGGCCACTGCCTCCAGTGTTCCCTGCTGCTTGAATGCTTAATGGACCGGCAGTGCCTGCTGTTCCCTGTGTGCACAAGCATCCAAACAATTATAAAATCCCTGGGATCACAGGCCAGAAATGTGCAGTTACTCTCTGAGGAACCACTAACTCCTAGCCCCCCCCCCCCACCTCGTGTACAATAAAGCCGTTGACGTACGAAAAATGTGCTGCGTCCCACAAGTGCTACAAGAACATAAGTACAGTCCTCCCTTCCCGGTGTCCCTCAGGCCGAATCCCCCATGGGTCTCACTCTCTCCTATGCAAGTGCAAAGCTGTTACTGGCTGAAGATGACACACGTGGGAGTACAAGCTCCCCATCAAGGTGTACCTCATCATCGTTGATTTATAGAAAAATAAAAAAGAACGATTCCGAAGAGCGAATGGTGTAACGGCTGCAAGGCCGGGCGCTGAATAATGTGCTCTGATGCTAAAGAGCGCGTTAATTTGCTGCTTCGCTTCAAAACGAGTTTAAGGCTCTAATTGTAATTAATTAGTTGCCTGCTCGTTACTAAAACTTGGAGAAATGGCATAATGAGGGCGTGCTGCCTCTGAGTGTATTCTGGGGTCACAAAAGCGAAGCAGCAGCAGCGATCACTATTGGGGGGGGGTCACATTAATTCTGTAGACATCGGGGCCATAAACAAATGACCCGTCTGGAATATAATGTTATATCAGAGAATACTCCTTAATTATAACCCGTGTGTTGTGTGCAGGAGGAAAACGTAACTGGTGATGGAATAAAGTAGAACATCTTCCCCAGATCAAATATTTCAAGCCATCTTTCAACTCTGTTGATGTCATTTAGTAAGTGAGACATCTGACTCTTTTGCAATATTCACACTCTTAGTGTGTGCTGAAGGTGGCCTCTCTTAACCGTAGCCCTCTCTCTGCTCCTGGTCGCTTCATGGTAATGGTGTCACCTCTAAAACAGTCGTTGATCTGTCTCTTCTGTATGGGTGGGCCACCTGTTTGAGGTGAGGCTGCATGGGAAAGTAGAGCAGAGTTTGTGTGTTGGGGGAGGCTTTGGGGGGCTTATCTGCCCTCCCCATCTCCAGCCGGGAGATCAGGTGGCAGGGCCTGACTGTTAGGGGACTCTGTCAGGAGGTATAAATGCTGGGGGGGAAATGGTCCCCCCCAGAGAGACACCATCCTGCAGAGCAACAGAGCCATTAGAGAACAAGCTGGGAAAACAGACAGGCAAAAGGACGGCCGGCTGCCTGCCTGCGAAGGACCCCAAGGGACCAAACGCCAGCTGAGAAACATAAACAAGGTAAGGGGCCAATCGACACGCCCGGGCTGAGCCGGCTCAGCTGTTTTTTGTTATTGAGATGACAGAGGGGTGAGGCATTTGGGAGACGGGCACAGACACTAAGGGAGAGGATAGCATATCCGAGGACAAGCATGCCATCATGTGTCTCTTACAGGAGGATCGCGGTAAGTCAGATAATCTGTTGATTAGCAGGTTTAGGAATTGACTGAATGAATGATTAACCTGGTTTGCTGAATGATACTACTAAGGGCTCTAAAAGATCTAACGTAGAAGTTCCCAGTTCAGTGGCAAGTCGTTCACTGGCACTCAGAACGCTGGGGGTTTGGGAGAGGGCTTGGTAAATTCCCAATAATAACCGATATATTTTCACGCCATGCCTTTTTTATAACCTCAGACATTTGTGCATTTTGATAGCATCTGAAAAATCGTCCAATCGATTCACCATTCTACCCCACCATCCAGGTTGACAAGCATTAAAATTTTAAGTTTAAATTTGTCGCCGGTCTGCTGTCATCAGAAGGTTGGGAACTCCAATTGTAACGTGACTGCTGATTGGCCAGTGTTAAAGTGTCAAAGATTACATATAACATTCTTCAAGTAGAACACTGACCTTTTTACCACTTATATTCAGAGGGATTATGTAAATGGTCCTCATTTAAGCCCAGTTAACATGCTAGGTTTTCCAGCAATGCTTCTGCTGCATAGGCCCACCTGAGGCGAGCTCAGCAAATGTACCCATTTACCCAACAAGCTTTGTCTGTAGAAAAAGAAGGTGTTTCTTCCCCGGGGCTTTGCCGGCCAGCAGAGGGGAATCCTGAAGCGAAGGACAGGGATCAATCCCAGAATCTTAACTCATGAATTTTACAGCAGGTTTAAATGCCAGCGGCTGAACCTGGCAGTTTTATGGGTCACGGCTAACCAGCTTCTGTTGAGCTGGGAATCAGGTGAATTTGGCAGGACTGCTTCATGACACTGAAATAAATCTGCGCAACACCTTTTTCGAGGTCAAGCGATAGAGTTGTCCATGTCTCTGCATCTGATGGAGTGCTCTACAAGGCTGAGGTGGCTTTTAACTCATGCGCCTAAATGCCTGTCTTGTATCCCCGAAAGGATGCCAGGTGACCCTGACATCATGGAGGACGGGTCCGGGCACTCGGAAACCCCCTGGCGCTCCGTCCCACTGGAGTTGCACCATCCCTACTCCAGATTCTCTGACTGGAAGTTCAAGCTCTTCCGCGTCAAGTCCATGGAGAAAGCCCCCCTGCCGGGAGACTCTCAGCCAGTCGGAGAGCAGCCGCAAAGGGGGCCACCGGAAGCCTGCACCTCAACACCCCCAGAGGTGGCTGTGGAGGAGGGTGCGGGGGTGAGCCCGGGGACCCCCGGGAGTGTGATGCGCCTCTGTCTGGGGGGGAAAACCAAGGAGAGCCTGGAGAGCGTGGGGCTCCGCGTGGATCGCAAGCTGCAAGAGATTGACACCCACATGAACCACCTGAGGTACGACAAGTAATAATAACAACACCGGCAGTCATTATGGCATTATTAAGATAATGATAATAAATGGTTTATTCTTACATGCTTCAATATTGCTACTGAAAAAATTTCTCTATGGGCATTTAAAATGGCAATATCGCAGAAATTATAATTTATCATGAATGCACTTGCTTTACTCATTAATAAGTAATCAACAAATAATTTTATGTTAAGCTATGAATTTGATTATTTGAAATCCTGTTCTGGCCGGGTAGCTCTTGGTATAATTGAGTATGTGTTTGGCTGGCAGGACCCTGTGCCGCCTGTGTGGCACAGCGCTGCACAGAGTGAAAGGCGGCCCAGAGCGGGAGGTCCAGGGAGAGCTGGACGAGAGCAGCAGGATCTCGCTCCGCAGGATGGGCTGCAAAGCCAAGGGCTGGCCTGAAGTCATCCTGAAGGTCTTCAAGGTGGACGTGGCGGGGGACATGGAGACGGTGCACCCGCCCTCCTTCTGTCACCGCTGCTGGAAGGCCGCCATGAGGGGGGGGGGCTTCTGCTGCTTCTCGGGGACCCAGCTCGCCCAGTGGACGCCGCACTCGGCCCTCTGCCATGTCTGCTTTCCCAGAAAGCCGTCGCTGCAGCGGAAGGGGCGGAAGCGCTGTCAGCCGTCCCGGGGAGCCCTCCACCACCTACCCAGGGCCAAGCGGCTCAAAAGCGACCTCCACACCCACAGCCTGGTAGACAATGGCCGGCCGTGGAGAGCGGCGGACCAGGGGCCCAGCAGCAATGCCTGGCCCAGGCCCAACCTTCAGAAGGCTCTGTGGGTCCGTAACGTCACCCGTTGCAAGAACGTCCACCTTGGGGCAGACCGGCTCCGTGAAGACTTTCCTATTGACTTTGTCCGTGCTGTGACGTGCCAGGTGTGTGACCACCTCCTGGCCGAGCCTCTGCAGTCACCGTGCAAACACCTCTTCTGTCGAACCTGCATCCAGCAGTACAGCCGTGCCGTAGGTCAGCACTGCCCGGCTTGCGGCCTCCCCTGCTCCCCCTTTGACCTGGTGAGCCCCACTAAGGCCTTTCTGGGCATCTTGAACTCCGTCCCACTATGCTGCCCCAAGGAAGGTTGTGGGGACCCCGTTCCGCTGGGGTCCTTTGGGACCCACTGCTCAAGTCACCAGGAGGAGAAGGAGGAAGAAGACCAGGCCAGGAAACGACAGTGGCAGGCCTACAGCAATGGCTACATGCCCATCAACAAAGGCGGCAGGCCCAGGCAGCACCTGCTCTCGCTGACCCGCCGGGCTCAGAAGCACCGGCTGAGGGACCTGAAGAACCAGGTGAAGACGTTTGCTGAGAAGGAGGAAGGTGGAGACATCAAGTCCGTGTGCCTGACGCTCTTCCTGCTTGCGCTCCGGGCTGGAAATGAGCACAGGCAGGCCGACGAGCTAGAGGCCATGATGCAGGGTATGGTTTACCGGTTCTCCGCTTTGACGTGTATCTCCCCCAGGCTGAGCCCCAGGTGGTTCTACATTCTTACTTTGGAAAGCACTACTGTATGTGTCCAAAAACATACGTTTTCACCCTAACAATGCACAGTGGTAGTCTCAGGTAAAGAACACATGATTTGCTTGCATTTGTAGTCATTTTCCTGTCTGTCAGGACAGACTAGCAAGCCAGGGGGTTTATAGATCCTCGCTCATAAAACGATACTCTCATTAAGAGCCTGTTTAGATCTAGACAGGACCTCTGCAGTATCAAGAGGGCCAGGCGTTGTATGACATTAAATGACACCAGCAGCATGCTTTTGTCCCCTGGGAAACCAGTGCCATCTGGCATCTGTTTTCATCATCAGCCAAGAGACCCCTACTCTGCCAGTTCCACCACTCCAACCTCCTGTCCTATTGTGACAGTAATAATCACTAGAAATGTGCTACCTCATTACGAAATATTTGCCATTGTCATTCTTTTGTGTAACGAGTGCTTGTTTGATAAAAGGGCTGGACAGCACATCATCATCAGCCTCTAATGATCACCGCTGTTAAAAATGCTGCATGTTTTTGAAACTAATTTCCCTTTTGCCCTGTGTCTTTAGGTAGGGGATTTGGCCTGCATCCTGCAGTGTGTCTGGCAATAAGGGTCAACACCTTCCTGAGCTGCAGCCAGTACCACAAAATGTACCGCACGGTGAAGGCCACCAGTGGGCGCCAGATCTTCCAGCCCCTGCACACTCTGCGTAGTGTGGAGAAGGAGCTCCTTCCCGGATTCCATCAGTTTGAGTGGCAGCCGGCGCTGAAGAATGTGTCTAGTGCCTGCAATGTGGGAATCATTGATGGGGTGGCCGGATGGGCAGCCTCCGTGGATGATGCACCGGTGGACACCATTGCACGCCGATTCCGCTATGACGCCGCCCTGGTGGCAGCCCTGAAGGACCTGGAAGAGGACATTATGGAAGGGCTGAAGGAACATGGCCTTGAGGACTCAGAATGCACGGGAGGGTTCAAGGTGGTGGTGAAGGAGTCATGTGACGGCATGGGGGATGTCAGCGAGAAACACGGGGGTGGACCTTGCGTACCTGAAAAGGCTGTGCGATTCTCCTTCACAGTGATGTCAATCTCTGTCCAGGTAGAGGGACGTCAGGAAGCGATCACCATCTTTCAGGAATTAAAGCCGAATTCGGAGCTGTCCTGCAAGCCACTCTGTCTTATGTTTGTAGACGAGTCAGACCATGAGACCCTCACTGCTGTGCTGGAGCCTGTGGTGGCTGAGCGAAATGCCATGAGGGAGAGTCGGCTCATCCTGTCCGTTGGAGGGCTTCCTCGCTTCTTCCGGTTCCAGTTCCGGGGCACAGGCTACGATGAGAAGATGGTGAGAGAGATGGAGGGCCTTGAGGCTTCTGGGTCCACGTACATCTGCACCATGTGTGATTCCACTAGGATGGAGGCGTCCAAGAACATGGTTCTGCACACTATTACAAGGAGCCACGAAGAGAACCTAGAGCGCTATGAAATCTGGCGGACCAACCCCTTCTCAGAGTCTGTGGAGGAGCTTCGGGATCGGGTCAAGGGCGTCTCAGCTAAGCCTTTCATGGAGACCCAACCAACCCTGGATGCCCTGCACTGCGACATCGGCAATGCCACCGAATTCTATAAAATCTTCCAAGATGAAATCGGTGAGGTCTATCTGAAGGGCAACCCTAGTCGGGAAGAGAGGAGAAGCTGGAGGTCAGCTCTGGACAAACAGTTGAGAAAGAAGCTGAAGGTGAAACCTGTCATGCGGATGAATGGCAACTACGCCCGTCGGCTCATGACCCGGGAGGCGGTGGAAGCTGTGTGTGAGCTGGTACCCTCGGAAGCCAGGAGGGAGGCTCTGAAGGAGGTCATGGAGCTTTACCTACAGATGAAGCCGGTCTGGCGGGCCAGCTGCCCGGCCAAAGAGTGCCCTGACCAGGTCTGCCGGTACAGCTTCAACTCCCAGCGCTTCGCAGAGCTCCTGTCCACCACCTTCAAATATCGCTATGACGGCAAGATCACTAACTACCTTCACAAGACCCTTGCCCACGTGCCTGAAATCATAGAGCGAGATGGCTCCATCGGGGCCTGGGCCAGCGAGGGAAACGAGTCGGGCAACAAGCTTTTCCGCCGTTTCCGCAAGATGAATGCGCGGCAGTCGAAGAGCTTCGAGCTGGAGGACGTGCTGAAGCACCATTGGCTCTACACCTCCAAGTACCTGCAGAAATTCATGGAGGCCCACCGGAACTCTGCTAAGGCCTTGGAGGCCACCATCGACCCGGTGGAGTGCCAGGATGATAATGACTTGGTGCTGGATGTCACAAACTCACTGAACCTTTAAGGATGTGGAAAGGGTTTAGAAATCAAGGTGAAAAGAATCAGAGTTGGCGTTTTTGTGTGTTAAACGTATCATTTTTCTCTTTATCCTGACAGGGAATTTGCTCCCAGGGATAACGGGGAAGCTCACTTTGACCTGCTGTCATTTTTGTTTATTACTTAAATGGATTTTGAGATGTCAGAGCAAAGTGTTCTGGGTTTTTAATTAAATTTTTGGGTTTTCTTTAATTCTCAGTGAGCTTTTGGGGAATTGAAAGAATATATATTGATAATGATTTAATATCCATTCTCTTTGTCATCATATGACTTGCATTTGTCATGATTATTTTATGAAAATCCCTTTCATTTAGGTGGATGGATATTTCCTGTCACCTTTATCCTTTCTCAAGTTCATATGTCCAAAAAAACATTGCCGGCTTTTTCGTATTCTTTGTTCAGATTGTCTGAGATAATTTTTGCCTCACATAAAATATTGGAAGGCTTATTGTTTTTTCAGGATGTGACACATCCATGAATTTATACAGGGATATTATTTATGAAAACAGATTAAAGTGTTGTAAGTCATGGCAAGGTAATTGTGGTGAGGGGGCATACATTACGTAGATGGTGTATTTATCACCATGGCAAGAAGAAAATGGAGTTAAAGAATCTGAGGTTGTCTTTGTGCCAGTAAAAATGATTGCTTTAGGGCTTTTTATTGGGATTCCAGGGTGCAAAACGACTTTGAAATCACTTTTCAGCACCTGCAGGGACAAAATCAGCTATTTTGCCTTCACTCCGACTACTGATGTAGAATTTGTGAACCTCATGTTTAATTTCTATGCCATTGTCTGCCTGGAGATGAATTCTGTTTTTGTTTTCTTTTGAAATCTGCTCATGGGGCCCCCCGTGTTTTTGTGTCTGCAGCCAGCTGCTCTTCTTTGACGTGAACGTTCACTTCTGCAATTCTGCCCAGGAACAGTCTGTTGGCCCTTAAGCAGAGCACCTCACGGCTGCCAGCATAGCCCAGCGTAGTTAAATATGTGTTTTACCTACGGTGTGGCATTTAAAAAAAAAATTTAAGAGCATGGACGTGGAAGAATCACAGCTGCAAACAAAATAATTATAGCGAACAGTATAGTTACAGTTGAAAACATTTTGGTGTACTTTAGTGTGCTTTTAAGTTTTATGTTTATACTTAAACTTATGGTTATATTTTTGACAAGGATTTTGAACATTTATGTCCCATGTTTAATAAGGGATTTGTACTTTTGGTAACATATTCTTATTGCATAATATGAATTTTTGTGAAATGTCTTGTCATCTGACCTCATATTGTTCCTGCTGTTACTGTTTGATGTAATCTACTTACACTAAGGCTTCTGGCACTGTTATATTTTGGTGGATATTAGCCTTGCAGTTAACCATTGTTTATTAACGTTTTTTAAATAAGGAAATATTTGAGAATGATATCAACGTACAATTTGTTGTACATTGTATTCATCTTACTTAGATTTTTGCACTTTTCCTTAAGGCACAGACTTTCCAAATGTTTACATAATTTTACATCTGCAATAATTCTCATGTTTGACAACTGTATAAAAATTACACTATTCAGATTTTCAGTGTAACTTCAATAATTTACATTTTATTATTTGGATATAAAATCCTTTTGTTGTATTTTGAGTTGATTATATATAGTATGGTGTTTTTACTTTTTGTGATATACTTTATAACACATTGTTTTGCTGAGATCCTGTACTGGGTAGGGTCAGCAGCTCTGGAATTTGAATGGGTGGATTGTTTTATGATGTTTTATTGAACGCTGATTAATTTTGACATGGAAGCACATTTGATTTGCAATAAATAAATTCAAATGATTATCCTTTAAATGCTGTATATTTTACTCTGTTGTGTCATGAAATTCAAAGCACAATACAGACCTTATAATGTAACTAACTGTTACATGACATTAAGATCTATAATATTTTATGTACTGTAAATAGATGAAACTCCAAGTCTGAAAATGACATAACCAACTTTATTATTTATGCATTTCATTTAGACACTCATTACAATATTATGCATATAGGATTGCAAATGCCAATGAATTCACATAAAAAAGGACACTGCTTTTAAAATTAAGTAAAACAGAATATTAAAATAAAAGGCATTTCTTTTTGTCAATCAGCATGTTACAGTCCCATCCACTTCCTGTAACCGCTTGTCCTATTCAGGCCTATGGGCACAACCCAGGGTGGGGCATTAACCGATCACACTCACACATATGGGCAATTTGGTAACTCCAATTCACCTCAGCATGTTACTGGGCTGTGGGGGGAAACCAGAGTAACTGGCAGAAACCCCACGACATGGGGAGAACATACAAACTCCACACACGTGGAACCCTGGCAGACACTCGAACCCGGGTCCCAGAGGTGTGAGGCAACAGTGCTAACCACTGCAGTATGTTATGCCACTTTGCCACTATGTTACAGTCTGCAGTATAAAAAGCCAGTATAAAACATTCTCCATGTATGGAAATTACAGTCAAGCACCGGGTCAATCAAACAGCCTTCTGAGAAAGCTCTTCTTGGTGGGGGTCATTCTGAGGCGGATGGGGGCCTTACGGTGCTGTGATTTAATGGTTACACGCTTCAAAGGTGTGGCAGTGCGCGGTGGCGTCATCTCCTTCCGCGGCATGCCCCCATGGTCCAGGCAGAAGTATTTGCTGCTGTTCTGGGAGAACTTCATAAGTAGAGTCTCATTCAGGTCCATGCACTGGGCATGGACCCAATGACCACCCTCCCCCCCAGAGCAGAAGATCATGGCAGGCCGGTGCAGCTCGGTGGAATAGTAGGGCACCCATGTGTTGGCATCCGCCTGGCAGCCCAGGCAGCAGCTCATCCAGTAACCCGTTTGGGACTCATCCTCCTCATCCTCTTCATTGTAGGTGTCGCCATCAGCATCATCACCGCTATCTTCTAACTCGTGTGGCTCACGGCCAAAGTACAGCTCCTCAGAGTCCTCCAGAGGGGCGGAGTCCTCAAAGTCAGTGGATTCTTGGCTACACCCTTGCATTGCTTCCTCACCACTTCCATCTCCCTCCATCTGGAAGCTCACCTGGTAGAAGCTGTGGGCATCTGGCTGGGCTGATCTTCCCTCGGTGGGCACCCCGATCAAGACACTCCCCTTCCCCAAACTCCCCCCGAACCAGGTACGGCTGTGGGTGATCTCCCCAGTCCATGGAGGTGGATCTCGGGGTTCGATGTGGATCCCGGTATCATCCAGCACCACGTTGTTGCACTCCATCCGTTTCTGGGTCTCAGACTGGTAGCCGCCCAGGACCACATACTCGTGGCCGGGACCTGATTTGACAGTGATGGTACTGGTCATTGAGAGGCCATTGTCCATGATGTCGCATGAGAGCACCGGGCCACCTAAGAGTAACTGGACCTGGATACGGAGCAGACGTACCGGCCGGGTGTCCGAGGACAGATTGTGGCCCCCTAAAACGTAGATGCAGTCATCCCGTGCCAGTGCCACATGAAATGACTGCCCGTCAGTGAGCTCTGGGACAATATGGGAGGAGCAGCAGCCAAAATCTAGGTCTATGAGGAACACCTGTGGAGGACAGTCCATCACACAGTTCCATGTCTCTGTGGTTCTCTCGCCTGGCGGCCTGTAGCAGCGACCCCCAAAGAGGACACAGGCTCGCTTGCCCCGGCTGTACACCACACTTGCTGTATGCCCGAATCGTGGTCCCGGCATCTCGCCCACCAGCTCCTTCTCCTGGCAGCGCAGCGTCACCTTGCGGTTGCTGCCACGGCTGTCCTGGTTCAGAAGGTACAGGCTTCCAGAGATCTCATTGTTGGGAGTGCGGCCCCCGTGAATGAGGTAGCACTCTGGGTCAGAGCCCCAAGGGTCTAGGTGGGCCACAGCAGGGCAGCGCAATGGAGGAAGGTAGCAGGAATCATTTGAGAAGGAGACAGGACGCAACTTGAGCTCTCCCTTCTTCAAACGCACCATAAAAATCCCTGTTGGACAGGAGCGCTTCGGCCAGCCTTTCTGCCCAAACAGGAAAATGTCCCCATCCAGTGATAGTAAGGAACATCCAGGCTGCAGAAGGCTTGCACAGTTCACTGCACTCACTGGCTGTAAGGTCATACTGCAGTAGGGGAATAGTGGGAGACATGAGTTCATGTATTTTAATCACAAGGACACAAAGGATTTAAAAATGTTATATTTTCACTCGTTAAAACACGACATCCATTAAACTTTTATGTACGCTTACTTAATTTGAACTTTTTAATGTTTCAGAGTCATTCGTCATTACTGAAACAGAACACCCCGGAACCCTATATTGCCTATGACAATTGAACAGGCGGACAGTACGGCTACGGCTATAGGACTTATGGGATGTAGTTTTTACACCCATATTTACGCCTTTGTTTAAGGGACACGAAACAACATTTCCCAGAATTCATTGCTTATGTTTTCCCGGGGATAGGACAGACGGTTTTAAGGTATTGTATCGCAACCTCCTATACTACCTAAATGTTGATCATAATTAAGAGAATGTACATCCCTTCATAGACATTAATCACGCCCATTCATAATATACATAAGGCTTAAAAATCTTAACCAGAAGTATGTTGTCTGTTATTAATGTGAAACTGGTCTAACGTGGAAACTCTGAAGCTGAGCAAGCTGGTGAACACGATGGTAAACGGCATCGGCTGGTCGTTTCACTGTTAAATGTCAATGGTATTGTTTAATGCATCAAGATAATGCACGATATAAGATGCGTTTAGCTTGCTTTTTGTAGCGTTGCTCCTAAAATCTTCATTACATTATTTTTAACCTCTGGTGCACTTGAACAACACTGTAATAACATTTTCACAACATGTGTTGCATGCTAGATACTGCAGTTATGCACTATTCTGGTATTATTATCTATCACCTAGGCAATGTCACGTTTTTGAAAATTACAAGAATTTGGCTGTGGCTTGGTTGCACATGTATGTGATAACGGTCGATGGATAAGTTTTGTGTGGTTTAGTATTTCATGCGAGTTCGCATCGCCTCTTACCTTTTTGGACTTTCCCAGTGTCACTGAAGACAGCTTGGTAACAGTCTTGTCCTGATATGTGGGAGGCTATGCGTGAAGCTACGCTGGTCCTACTGACAGCACACAGATGGTGAGGTTAACGGCCCCTGACTGCCGAGCGAAGTAGGTGGGCATACAGCGCTTCTTCCTCTGTTGTCTTTCAATCCTATCAGCTAATGTCGCTAAGAACCAAACTTATTTAATGCATCAGTACACGTTCTCAGGATATTTGTAACTCTTAGTAGCTCATCGTGTATATTTTCCCATACAGCCCACCAAAAATTATACTTGCCAAATAGGAATGATTAAAAAAAAACATGCACAAATCACCCGTCTTTGAAATAAGTAAGTGATACATCATAAAAATGAAGGGGATGATTTCTTGTGGCTGATGAGGTGAATTAAACAGATGAATGATGGGGCCTTTAAAGGTCAAGAAGAGAAACGCAGACAGGAAATACTATACCCAATTTATCAAGTTGGTCCCTGCCCTTGGATGGCTCATGTTATAATGAGTATCTACTTAGCTGTGAGGATTGTGTTTAGTATGTAAAGGTGTCCTCTTTACCTACTTAACATTAGTGGAGTATACAAAAGAACTGTGCTCCGGTGCTAGAGAACAGGTCTGCCTGTCACCAGGGGCCACACAGAATGTAAACTGGCACATAGAGGTTGTGTAATTTTGGCCGTGTGTGATACTGTACTAGCTTGTAAACTTTGCAATTAATCCTTTGCATGGCATTGGTGATTAATTACAGTGAAGCTGTTTGTGTCTCATCCATAAAGTGTAATGTAAAGTGTCTCTGGAAACATACTTTCTGAAAAGTTTTTAAGTAGTGATTTTGCTGCAGATCCACCCCAGTGTTTGGTTTAATGTTCCCCATGTAATGTGTAGTAGTGAAACTCATTGGGATATAATTCCCAGAATCCCCACTTTTTCTTATTTTATGACTCCATATATATGCCCATAAAACTGGGAAATTCTCCACCTGCAGTGAACCCGTGGCCCGCATTATCTGCTGTGAGCACAGCGGCCTGAAAAATGTGCTGTTACGCAGCGTCCTGTTTTTCATTAACTCTCTTCACTCCGTCTCACCCGGGAGGAGCCACTCGTACACAGGGGCAGCTGTACGGCTCTCGAAAGCATCGTGTGTGTTTTTTTTCTTATTGTGGGAGACACACAGGAGCACGCAAAACACGACTGCGGCCACAGCAACCCGAAAAGATCGTTAGAAGTCGAAAGATAAACAGCCACGCACCTGGGTCTCCAGTCTGTGAGGGGAATGTGTGCATTTAGTCTCTGTTCCTGGGGGCCTCTATGAGTTTGGTTTGGGGTACGGGGTCACAGCCAAGAGATGCTATCCTATTGCCATTTAATGGGTAATTTGCTTCTTCTTGACTTAGTTTACATTACATATAGTGCTGTTGCATCATTAATGGCTGCCTCCCACACTGGCTGTTCAGCATTTTCACGGCCCCTGAAACTCCAAATATTGGAATGAATTGATGAATGCCACAGTTTCTGTTTGATATTTTAGTAGTTGCATGCCTTTATAGTATTTAGTGTACTTGTGATTTTTGTGATTGGTATTAAAAAGAATTTAGCCTGTGTGCTGTTCTGGCCATAAGAGACCTTTACTTTGACATTCAGTGATGTTCAGTCCTCTTTCTTGTAGAGAAAGTACATCCAGTATTGTTGTTTTCATCATGCCTCCTACCTCCTTTCTATGGCCTGACCCTCTTTGCTTCTTGTGACCATTAGATTATTTTAGGTGGAAAGATGTTCAGAACATTGTGTTCAAAAATAAAAGCCCATGAATTGTAGAATGCGACTCTGTTCAAGAGACATGCAGTAGTGACTTTAGCTGATGGGTAATGGAGATGAAACGAGGCACGTAGCTATGCTGCATTCTCCCCTCCCTGGTACTTTGTTGGTTTTCGCTGTTCTTTAGACTGCTGTAGATTGCAGAGTAAAATTGGGGGGGCGGTTGTTACATTTGAAATGGTTATTTTAGCTTTGTGCATTATGTGTTGCTCCCACCACCCACTTTCACTAGTGGAAAGCCTTTGAAAATGTTTTTTTTTCTTTGTATGCTGGCCAGGTCAAGGAATTTTGCTCTTGTCTTCTCTAGAGATTTCTGTAAACTATTTAAAAAAGTGTCCTTGGCATTTGGAGCTGATCTGACTTGACTGCGAGTGGGAAAATGTCACAGCGGTGTCCCCTCCAGCCATTTGCCTCGCCTCTCCCGGTGAGCGTGTGCTGCCTTTGGGTTCGGGCAGGTGTGAGGCGGGATGCCAGTGGTGCCGAGTGGCGTCCGTGTCGCGGCCTATGAGCAGGCGGTGGTGGACACCTTGGAGCTCCTCTGCATCTCCTCTGAGCAGACCTATGAGGGCTTTCTGAGCTCCTTCACTCACCTCCCAGCAGGTGAGCATCACACCTGTAATTCTTTAGAACTTTGCAAAAGCACATGAGTTTAGTTATGTGACTCTTTCATGCTCTGTCACTTCTGGAGAAGATATCATTCATTCTTAACTTGGGATCATGAAATAGAGTAGAGTTTGTGTTCCTGAAGCTATGACTGGAAGGGGCCCAACGTTGTACTTAAGTAAGGTACGTTCCCTGAATTAATTAAGCAAGCAGATACACTATATGGACGAACGTCCTGGGACCCCTGGCCATTACAGCTACGGGAACTTTTATGACACCCCATAATAAATCCACAGGCATCAGTATGCAGCTGATTCCCCCTTTGCAGTTGTCATTTGCGGCCATTTTTCTGCGAAGGTTTTCCACAATTTTTTGGAGTGAGTCTGGGAATTTTTGCCTATTCATCCATTTGTGAGGTCAGGCACTGATGCTGGCCGCGAAGCCTGGCTTGCAGTCTCTATTCTAATTCATCCCAAAGGTTTTTGATGGGGTCGAGGTCACGGCTCTGTTCAAGTCAGTCAAGGGCCTTCCCCAAACTGTACCCACAAAGTTAGAAGTGTGTAATTGTCCAATATGTCTTGGTTCGCACATCAAAACATTTTGGACAATTCTGTGCTTCCATGTTTGTGGGAACAGTTTGGTATGCATATGAAGACAAGCCAGGCCTTCACATCTAACATCAGTGTCTGACCTCACAAATGCTCTTCTGGATGAATGGGCAAACATTCCCACAGATACACTCCACAATCTTGCAGAAAGCCTCCCCAGAAGAGTGGCAGCTGCTATAGCTGCAACGGGGGGACCAACTCCACATCGGCATTTAATGGGTAATTTAACTCTTATTAACTTAGTTTGCATTACGATTACATATAGTGCTGTTGCATCAGTCATGGCTGGCTCCCACACTAGCTGTTCAGCATTATCAAGGTTCCTGAAACTCTAAATAGTAGAATGACTTGATAAATGCCACAATTATCAAATGATGCCTATGGTTTTAGAATGCAATGTCATAAACGTTGTGTGTAATATCAAGGTGTCCCAATACTTTTGTCCATAAAGTGTATATACCTTACTGGTAACAGTGTAAATATCTTTTGTATTATCTTATATTCTGTCCGTTGTATTTGTTGTGTGACTGCTGTATGATGGTTAAACCTGCTGTATGATGGTTAACTGCTGTATGATGGTTAACTGCTGTATGATGGTTAACTGCTGTATGATGGTTAGCTGCTGTATGATGGTTAGCTGCTGTATGATGGTTAACTGCTGTATGATGGTTAACTGCTGTATGTACCCAGATCTGCTGCAGAAAAGTAGCGTCCCTCCCCTAGCGAGCAGTAAATCATATCTACCCACCACCGTGTTTACTTGTTATGTCAAAGCTGTTATATTACATATGCATTACATGTTGCTTCGAATGAACACGTTTTCTAGGTAGCTGATAATAGCACAAATTTTCATTTGGTTTCTTTCCTCTCGGAGGCGCTGCAGATGGACAGCTGGATTTGGCATCAGGATTGAGCCTCTGTCAGACAGCTAGTGGGATGCAAAATGGGGTGAAGACGGACATGGAGGAAGGAGAATGGCTGGGTGATAAGTGTCTACATGAGGTTGTAGCAGTATTACCTGTTACTGAAAACACTTGTGGTTAGAGTTCAGTCGGGGGGGGGGGGGCATTCCTGAGATTAGACCCAGTAGCCTTTTCACGAAGCAGGGCAGCAGGCAGTTGTTGAGCGACCATGCATGCATTCTTGGTAGCTGGACGTTTGCCATGTTCGTTACTGTCCATCGTTCAGACTGCCGGATGGCAATGAAATGCCAATACTCACCTTCATCTAGAATGATGCAAATGCGAGGTCTGGTCTCGTGTAACATTCTCGGTGGCCTGCAGTGCAGTTTGCCTGAAAGCTGGATGTGCTGAATCCTGACAGGAGGCTGCTGTTTGTACTCGTGAAGCCCCTTCACGCCTCAGTCTACCCGTACACAGTAAAAAGTCTGCAGAACACTCTACAATTAGTCTTTAATGGAACAAGACAAAAATATCCCCGCTGCAGATGGTGTTTTATGTAGCCTTGAGGATATATAGGAAATTATTCATTCTGAACACTTTAACATTATAAAAAACAAATGTGTGTTTAGTTTCAAATAAATTGGTTTTACTAGTACTGAATTATTATTTGGCTTTTTAGCATATACCTTTACCCTAAGGACTTGGAGTCTGACACTTTACAATTCATTTAAAAAGCAGGGTAATTTATTGAAGCAATTCACATTATGTACCTTGTTGAAGCGTATAGCAGAGGCTTCTCTAGGGATTTCAAGCTGCGGCTTTTTAGACAAAAATTAAATTCCTGAACCATTACGTCCTGTCACCTCTCTCTTAGCAGAAGTGTGGAGCAATAATTGTTGAGTTCTGTAGTTCTTAGTTCAGTTTTCTTTGTCGGGCACAAGGTGTTATAAGAAAAAAAAATGCATAAATAAATGAACTTGTGAAGCACATATAGGTACATCTTGGTGAAGTATGTTTCCCTAAATAAAGAATTCTTTGCTTTGGTTGCAGATTGTGCTGGACAAAGGCGTGACAGTGGGTGGGTTCGTGACTGGAGAGCGCCCCCCCGGTGGGGTGAAGGTGCGTAGGTATCCATATCTCCATGACTACAAACGAAATGTCAAGAAGACACTAGAAACCAGCCTTCCAGCCTGGGCGTGATCTACGGTTCTCGCTGTGTTTTGGCGCTTTTCCACTGGCATACAGGAACCGAGCCGTACCTGACCTGGACTGCGAAAAGAGACTAGTTACAGTGTGGATCCAGCTCGCTTTGGTTTTCCACTGCAGAAAGGTCGGCTCGGTAAAGGCGGTGGAGCATGCCCAGAGCACCTAGGCCAGTGTTTCAGTCCGACTGAACGTATACCTGCAGGAGTAATTCGACTCCCAATCGCATTACCTGGGTGTCTTAGTCTGACTTGGAGCAATTCGATTTAGTGCAGTTTCAGCCAATTCGATTTAGTGCAGTTTCAGCCAATTCGATTTAGTGCAGTTTCAGCTGGACTGACATGTTTGCATGTACTATAAAAGTCCGGTTTTAGTCAGACTAACACAATAATTTGATTTTCTTAGTGTCCCTGTAAATGTACTGAATGTGTTTTGGTGGTCGTTTACACTGGTTTTGCACTGTCCACTTGCAATCCAATCACCCAAGACGCACTTTACGACCAAGTGTACACAGGGTCACTGAGATGATTTGGTATCTTGGTAGCAATTAGGAAATGACAGTGATGACTGACCGGACCGGCACACGCTGCTTAGACAGATGGTACCATTCTCGCCCGAAGTTCTGTTTCTTTCTATGATGCCCTGTAAAACACCAAGGAATTCCTTACAGAGATATTTTCCTTGCATGCAGTTTGACAACTACCTGGATGTCTCAGACTTCAGCCATGAAGAGGAAGATCTCAGTTTGAATTCAGGTAACTATCTGTCCTAAACCAATCATGAAGCTTTTTGTTTTCTTAACAGAGTTTGACCTATGAATTTTTGTGATTTTTTTCCCCCCACAGGTTTTTCTTTACATAGTCACTATGTTGATGAAATCTAACATTAAATTAAAAAATGGCTGAACTGTGTCTTAGTGGATAGCACCTTCAGCGTCGGTGGTGTGAATCCAGCCTCCTCTCTCCTGCAGAGTTGGCATGTTCTCCGTGTCGTGTGGGTTTCCTCCGTATCATCCCACAGTCCAAATCCAGGCAGTTAGGTTAATTGGCATGTCTTTATTCCCCGTGGTGTGGGATCGTGCGTGTGCCCTGTGATGGATGGAAATATCAAAGCATTGCACCATTCTGGGAAACATAAAACATTTAGTGTACAGCCCCTCCCCAGGTTACAATGAGGTCCAATAAACCAATCGTAAGGCGAAAAAATGCATTTTGATACAGTACAGCTAACCTATCAAACATCATAGCCTAGACTTAGGGCACTTACATTAGCCTGCAGTTGGGCAAAATCATTAGCACAAAGTCTATTTTATTATGTGTTGAATGTTCCATGCATGTATTTATTGAATAATGTACTGAAAGTGAAAAACAGAATGGAATTGGAATACCCATCATAAAGCTGAAATATCGTAACATGGGCCATCAAAACCCAGGAAGCGTCTGTACTATAGCATTTTCTTTAAAGATGTCTCTTATGAAGAAATATTTTCCATGTGTAGAATTTGAATTTTTTGTTTCTTTGCCCTGCATTTGCTCTTGTACGGTTCAGCTTATAGTTAGCATTGTTCAGCCCTTGTTGCCTGCGTACCATTGCTCTAATCAGGGAAGTTGTTACAGCTTATTTAAATGCATTAGTGACCATCAGGAATATTTGCGAAATGCATTTCAGCTGGCCTTTGATTAGGGGTGAGGGACCATAACATTCAGGGAGTGTGCCTTAATATTTGCTTTATCTTAGTTTTTCGATAAATGGAACACGGCTGTCTGACAGCTGGACGAGGCTCATCCTGAATTGTCATGACCTTTAATTAATGAGGCCTGCAAGACCTTCATGTCGAGACCATCGCCTCGAATACCCTCCATCATGTTTAGGTTCTGGGAGGAAAACGTAGACAGATCTGTAATTCAGAATGTGCCTCTGAGAGGGGAAACCGCTGATGGCTTCTGTCCCCTGCCAGTCAGACGAGCCAGATAATGGAAAGACTGACTCTGAACTTCACCCCGATTAACATGGATGATTATTAATCTGCCGCAGTGAACTTGAGAAGATGGGGGGGGGGGGGCGACGACATCTTGAAGACTTGCAAGGCCTGTGCTAAGTCTTGGAATTGCATAATTGGGTCCTTTTCCGGATCGATGTCTTGAACGTTTGACACTGGAAGTAATAGATTAACTGAGATTTGCCTGAGATGGATTGACAAGGACACTTTCAGCATTCAGGACTTAATTCTGAGACTTTTAATTACTTGATGATCTTTATAATCAGAGTTTTTTTTCAAGGCAAATAGTCACCCTGCTGTAATAAACATACGGGCCCCTCGTCTGACTTCACTCCCTCCACTGAGGTGCCAGATCACAGTGAGTCAGGTGCTATATTTCCCACAATGCTGTGGGAAGTGAGACACCTGTTCCTGGGGATGTGTTGTGCCCCAATTACTGCCTTCTGCATTGTATTTGAACCCACAACCCCCACACATCTGGGCCCAGTCTGTCAGAGGCCCCCCCCCCCCCCCTCCATACACCCAGCTCAAGTTTATCTCCCATCTGCCTAGGCACTGTCCTCCTGGCCTTAAACTTAACGAGTTGCTTCCACTGAGAGAGTAATTAGCTGTTTAATTAGGACCTTCGTTGCCTTTATTACTGCCAAAAGCTGAAAGAGTGGCTGTAGTGGGACTTTGTGGGAGAGACTGGGGGGTGTCTGTCAATATTGGATTGTCTGAGCTCTTTAATTTATTGAAATTCTCTTTTTGTTAATGTACCTGCATATATAATCATTTACATTTGACAGTTATCTTTTTTTTGAATTTATTTCTGGTGGGGGCATAATGTGTGAAGATGCTTTGTTAGCAGATGTTTATCAAAGTCTGTGCTCTTTTTGCTGCATTTCTTCTTCCCTCTGTTTTTCGTTGTTGCTTCTCGTTACCCGGCTGCTACATTAGGGCCCTTCTGGAAAGATGACTGGCCGTCTGATTTTCGGTGCTTGTTAAAGGTCACCGCTGTGCCGATGTGTTTCCGCAGTCCGAGACTCATCTCCTGTGTTTGCTAGTTCTGTCCTGCTTAAGTCGCCGTGTGGAGAATATGTCTAGCACTCAAAAAAAAAAAAAAAAGAAAGAAAGTGCCGTAGCAGTCATTGGAGGTGACCCAGAGTTTCCATTTCCCCCCAGCTTGTCGCTTAAGCTCTGGTTGATTGGGAACATGTGTTTGGGAAGGATGAATGTTAACTTTAGCATGATTTGAATGGTGGCAATCAGTCTGGGGCACTATAGCATACTGAGTTTTTGTACATGCATGTTAAGGGTTGCCTAGGAAACCAATATGTATCACATTCTGCACGCTGTGATGAGAGACGCTGATTACTGATTTGCTTCGGCTGGCATCTAGAAGTGTAGCATTTCTTCGTACCCTCAGCCTTGCATATCCCCTGTTTGTCCTCAGATCAGATGGCACTGCCTGGTGAAGCAGAAGAGGGCCTCCCTTGCACAGCCTCCGTCTGCCACCACACCATGCTGGAGTTTCACACGGTGACCCTGAACCAAGATCAGGGCCAAAGCTCAACTCCTGGAAGCCAAGTAAGGCCAAGAACCTCTGGATGTCACGTGAGAATAGAGCTCATTCAACTTCCCGACAGATCACTATGATTCAACAAATGGAAGTCTTGCATACAGTACCAGTCAAAAGTCTGGACACACCTACTGAAACCTATTTGTTTTTCAGTGAGATAATGACCATAGGCACACCTTATGTTTGGGTAAGAACTATTACCTTGTAAATAAGTAAAGAGATGGAGGGCTGTGACAGATGACTTGGCCCCCACAATCCTCCACAGAAGCCCTATAGAGTTTGTCTGGGAAGAGTCAGATTGAAGGTAGCCAACCTTCAGGAGTGTTGGAGAAGCATTCCAGGGGGGTGTGAACTGTAAGCTGGCTGAAAGAATGCCAAGAGTCTGCAATGCTGTCATCAAAGCAAATGGGGGCAATTTGGATGAGTCTAAAATTTGAGAATTATTTTTGATGCTGTTGCAATATTTGATATGTATTACTTGGTATTACTTGTCTTGTATTGCCTTGAGGGCTTTTACAGCAAGGTAAGTAACATAGCAATGCATTAAAAGCAGGTGAGTCCAGATTTTGACTGGTTCTGTATACATGACATGCCTTTTAAAGACACAATTATGCATGAAAGCAAGTCAAATATACATGTTTGCTTGCTTGAGTATTTCTTTGTATAATTTAGTTATGTTTCTCGTGTTTCTTTTGTTAATTGTTCTGCTGGCTGGGACGCAGTTCAGTGGGCACTCCTTTGAAATCTTGGTAATTCTCATGACATATTTCCCTGCCCTTCCCCTAGGAGGCGCCAGAGGAAGTTCAGCCCTTTACTTTGGATGAGAACTTTGACTATGACCATGCTATTCTGTCACAGAAGCATCCAGTGCTCTGAAGCACCTGCTGGCCACACTGATGGGGGGGGTTAGGGGAGTGACCCAATGTGCAGCCATGAGTAGCTCCTCTCTAACGAGGCAGAATGGGCCACCGTCTCTCTTGCTGTACTTGGGTCTCTGCAAAGTCTGCTGCTGCTGCTGGCAGGTCTCCCAGATCAGAAAGATCGACAGCTTGGCTGCCAAGCAGACGGCAGTGCAGTGTGCAGAGATTGATTTGTGTCTGTTTTGGGTGACATCACTTAGATGCCCGTAATGGACCCTGTAATAGAGCTTTCGGTGCATCTCACCCTTCTTCAGTGCACCACTGTATATGCAGTTGGAGTCGTGCGAAACGGTAATGTGTGCAAATACAGTCTGCAATGTGGAGTGGTGAATTTAAAAATGTACACTTGCGTTTCCCTAACCTCACAGGGCTGCAGTTCATTACATTTCGTGAGATGCTGTGGGAGGGAGGCTTAGTGGCTCAGTGGGTAGCACTATTGCCTCATAGTCTTTAGGGCTGGGAGTTCAAATCCTACCCTTATAACAGCCCCCCCCCCCCATGACACTGACCAGGATAACCCTTCAGAGGATGGATGGAGAGATGGAGGGGCAGTGTTTTGACTGGTGCTGTATGATATTTAGCAGGTACTTTTTCCCCAATTCTTTATAATAAGTTCAAAAGTTTCTTGGCCATATTTAAGATTTTGCACGATTTTTGAGAGCTGTTATTTCTTGGTTTGATCCAGGTGCAGCTTGTAGGCCAGTGAGCATTCTGTTTGTGTGTAAGTGTGTTTGAGGGAGTGCGACATGCAGGCCTTTGGACAAAGTACTTGGCAAAATGACATTTCCTCATACTTTTTTAAAGCAGATGGGAAACTGCAAATAATATTTCAGCTTAAGTATTTTTATGCTCGTTCCTGACGCCTTTAAATCCGGAGGTGGCTGCTTTGGAGAGTGGAGCAAGGCAGTAATGGACAAAGCCTTTTCTGAGCTATAGGGTGATATTTTTTCTGGGTTTAATATTAAAGTTTTAAAGCAAAAAAAAAAATGAAGTCAGTCGTTTTCTTCTTTTACAGCACACATTCTCACACCACTCTGAGCAAAGCTTCCGTTATGCAGATTGGTGCTTCACTGTGGATAATGGAATCAGCAGATGATCAAACTGAAATAGGAGGGGGCTGGGGGGAGGGGTTGCCATGAGCTGGCCTGTCAGGTACCACAGTGGGGTCACTGGGATACAGCTGAATGCTCTAGTGCTCATGAAACCATCCAGTGTGGGACTCACCTCCAGTCAAGGATGTGACTTTGGTTTGAACATTGGGGGGGGGGGGGGAGTTCATGTCTCCCCCCATTTAGGGGGAGACATGATTATTGGGGAGGTTGTATTGGCCGGTATTGATTATTGGAGGGAATANGACATGATTATTGGGGAGGTTGTATTGGCCGGTATTGATTATTGGAGGGAATAGAACCCCCCCCCCCCCCTGTAATTTACGACCATGCCTCAAGCACGTATCAGATTCTAGGTTTAATTCATGTGTAACACTTCCTGTACAGAGAACACATTATCTCTTTTACGCTTCAGCCTACAAGACCTTTCTCTTTCATAGGTTATTTCTACTTGCATTGTAGGTATATTTGCTTTTTAATTGTCTACAGTGGTCCGGGTCTTAAGTACTTACAAATACAGATTAAAATTGCATTTAAGTGATGCATTTTTCCAAAGCACGTACAAGTCCCTGGGGCTGTTGGGGTTAACGGCCTTGCTCAAGGGCCCAACAGTGATATTATATATCTGTTAGCAAAGGGATTTAAACCCATGACCTTACAGACGTGGGCATAGATCACTAACCAACTTAGATACACACCAACCCCCCACAAAATGCTTAATTTTATGTCAGACCGGGCATGCAGAACCATTCTGGGAAAAGGGCAAAATTCACAAACAGTATTCTAATTGGTCTCCTTGGGTGCTGGAATAGAACATTAAAAACCGTATCGTTGATTTATGTATCCGGCAAGCCTATCATTTACGTCGTCATATCATAGTTTGCTGTAGTTAATTTCAAGCCTGTGTCTTGGGCTATTGTAACACATAAACAGGACCATTAATATATTGTGAAAAATAGCTGAAAAAGGGGGCATATGTATGTTATCATTCCTGCTCCTGTGAAACGGGAAAGGTAAGATACTGCTGGTGTCTAATATAAAGACCATGTTTTTACTGCTTCACTATTGTTGGATGGATGGCCTGTTTTATGCAGGGAAAATTCAGTCGGTTTCAATCTTTAAAAGTGTAAATCTTGACTCGATGATGCAATGCGGTGTCGATTCGTACCTTGAAATGGAACACAGTTCAGTAAGGCTCAGCGTGATGGGATATGATGTGATCTGATACTGACGAAACGGCAGAAAGCACTCTTCAAATGAAATAGCTCAGTTGGAGTGACTGGAATATTTTGTCAGATTGTCACGGGCGCTCCACCCGAGGATGAAGGATGGGGAGGCTTTACCCCTCCTGTGACAGCTGTATGGATTATACTGCTATGCGTTGACTTTAGATTAATTCTCCCTTCTCTGCAGATGTGCTGTTGCAGTCCCAGTTTACGCACAGCCCCATGGCCCAGTCTACCCATGTTAATTGCGCCTCTCTGGCCTTGCAGAGATGACAGTTATCGTCTGTGCTGAATGTCAGCGTGCATGCCCCCCCCTGGCAGGTGGAGATGGAGGTTGGGGCTGTCGGCCAGGTGGGACCCCCGCCGCGAGAAGCACCCCGTCGAGTGACTGATCTGCACAGTGCCCACAGGGCTTTGGTTGTTGCAGTACGAGTTGGGGGGGGGGGGGCAGAAGGGAAACCCCTGACACAGGTGTGATTGTTGTGGGCCGCCAACGGCTCCCACAGCACAGGTGATCTGGCGTGCCCTTTCAGGGCAGGTGGCCTTGTTGGGTGGATGTTTGGGGAGGGGGGGGGGGGTATCTCCCCTTATCTCCAACTCCTCAGTTTACCGAAGAGTGCCTGCAGGCTTTGTCTGCATGTCATGCTGTAGGGTTTACTCCTGCTGTTCCTGTCAAATCATTAGTCATTAAGTCATTTTGTTTATTTACCCTATCTTCCATTAATTGATTTTTAGAATAAGTACTGAAAATAGAATTTCTTGTGCTGTTATTTCTCTCTGAATTGACGTTTCATATGTTCTGTTGGCATCTATACAACTTCACACTGCTTCCAATAACCACTCTTGCTTATTTATGCTTTAAAATTCGTTTTATTGGTGCTCCAGCACAGGATTATTGCATTGGGTTTATTGATACAAACATTCAGATAGTGAGCTAAACTGTTTATTAATGACGATTAATTTGATACAGGGGCCTCCCTTCAGTGTCTGTAAAGATTTCTGTCTCAATCATGGCAGAAATTATGAAAATAACATTGAATATTTACTGACTTCTGAGTTTTTACAGACAGAAAAGCTAAAACAAGTTCACGGGCTGGACTGTAAACACTATAGTTACCTTCTGTTATGGAGCACAAAGCTTTCTTTAGGAATTAACGCAGCAACAGCAATTATGCTACAATAAAAAAAAAAACTAGAGAAAGTCATTTCAGCCTGCATTTTAGTGAGAGCGCCTCCATGTGGTGGTTGATGTAAGTGATGTGCTGAGGAGGTGACATTTTCTCCATATGGTGTCACTGTTTCCACATGTGTCATGTCCTCCTCACCCTGCACTCAGCACGTCTTGCTGCTGGGTGCTGGGTACTTACCAGTGGTGTGCCGTAGAGCAGGATGGCGCTGCCAGCAGTCCCAGGATGTGAGACCTTGGGTCTGGCTGCCCGCCTGCTCTTTGTGCCTCTAGGCCATGCAGCTGGACCCTGGGTGAGTTGGACCTGAGAGTTGTGATAACGTGACTTTCATCACATTCTAAATTCTGGTTATTTCTTAGGTTTTTCGTTGTAAAATTTTCAGTTGCTTTTGTTGAAACCAGGACGCTGACGGCTCATGGGTCAAACAGAAGGCCCTTTGGTACATGCATTGAATTCCTTAAGCACTACACATGATCCAGTGTGCAAAGAGAGGAGATGCCTGGGTTTTTTGGTTTGGGGTGGAGGGGAGGGGGGGGAGAGAGATTAACGGTATTCACCCTAATCTCAATGGCACTCAATACACAGAAACTTTTAAGTCAGGGAAAAAAAAAAAGAAACATCTGCGTCGATTCACCAGCTGTAATTTTTACGGTTCACAGGTGGTGGGTGAAACACTAATGCCTCAGATGGTACTACAATATGAGAATGACAACAATATTTGAATTAAAACATTTGAATAGACGCTATCATGTATATTCATGAGTTAACCTGCAATTAAATAGTGCACCGCATCGCAGGAGGCACAAATAATGAGGTTGCATATTTCTGCTTTGTTGATATTGTGTAATTTTTTTCAGCGGCTTTGCAGCTCTGTCAAGCTTGTTGGTGTTTTCATAGCACTACCCTCCAAACTCACAGCTTGATTATATGATTATATACGTGTGCGAGGTGTATTTTACCTTGAAATGCAGCTGCGGCTCTTGAGGCTGCCACTCAAAAAACATGAAACCCTTGTCTTCACAGAGCCGTTGTGTGCAGTGAAAAAATGGACAAAATATTGTGGAATTTCACAGGAACTAGAAGTCTTGGCCAGTTGGTTTCTTTGGCAGGAATGTTGAGCAGGTAAAAAACAACAAAAAAAAAAAAAAACCCCAAAAAAAAACACGTGCTGCAGAAGTGGACGCACCAGCTCGACTTTGAAGATTAAAAACGGATTTTCACATCCCTTTGAATAATGGAGATAAGTGATTGTCATTACAACATTTGAGCTTTTCCAAATTAATTGCTTTGAATAATTATCTGGAACAGCATGGAGGAGACAGGCACACTTACAGATCAAAACAAAACACTGTGGAAGCACAGTTCTCTGACAGCATGTAATTTCTATCATAATTTGAGAAACACAAAGCTGATATTAACAGCAGTCTCTGACACCATTTTTTATCTTTCATTTATGTAATTGCATATTTTAGCAAAGGCAATTAATGTTTTACCTCTTAGCACTTTATTTAGGGAAAAACAGGTGCTCTTTTACATTCTCTCAAACAAGAGAAGGCCTCGTTCCTGCCATTTGTTGTCATTAATTCTTCACTCTTGAATAATTTGATATCTCTGCAGCATCTGCTAACAGAATGGTCAAGGGCTGGATCCGTGGTGTGAAGACAGATTTCGGTGAAGTATTGTCTGAACATTTTGCTGAATTACTTCTGCATAATGGTTTTATTTAAGGACCTGTTATATATGCAGATATGCATGTTAACTAAATGGAAAGAACTTTGCATAGAAGGCCATGGTAGGAATGGTTTCAAGCCTACAAAACAAAGATGTCTGACCTCTTGGGAACTCCTTGTGAAGATTCTATTTTTGGGAGGCCTACCAGAATTCCCTGTCCCTTGTCCCATGAGTGTGGTCTGCTGGTCAGGGCTTAGGGAAACACAGGCACTGAAAAATAAGCGTTGACAGGAGTCAAGCCCTGCCAATATGCCAAACGTGGTGGCAGTCTGCGGTGGCAACCCAAGCGTCGGGCTGAAGGATGGAATCGATTGCTGTGTTTCGTGATTTGTCAAGATGGACAGAACAGCAAAACAACGGGTGAATATGCAGGTGATCCGGAGGCTGACCAGATGAAATGTGTAGCACTGGAAGTGGATTGGCGTAGTATTTCATTATGCATCATTATTATTTACTTTATTTAGTGTGTATGTGTTAGCCTACAGTCATATTCAATTCAGTTTATTTGTTTATAGTGCCCTTGACAGCAGTCACTTATGGCACTTATGTGTTGCAATCCATTAGTTCTTGTATGCTAAATGGTTCTGATAAAAGGAAAACGAGTAGAGGTGAAAAATATGAAACATATTTCCAGTCCACCATGGGCACAAATTCAGCCACTTCCTTACTGAATTTTACTTTATGCATATCTTACCCATCTCATGATGAATTGCCGCATATTCTTCCTGGAGAATATTGGATTGTATATAATGTGATTTTGTTTGTGCATTTAGAGTGAGATCTTGATATCAACATATCAATATTTCATTGTTAGTGC